CAACCATGACAAATTCTAGAAATTTCAAAATGAGAAATTTGTCCGTACCTTCCTTCTCAGTTTTGTATTTGTATTCGAGAGCGTTCCAAATCTTCATCGGAGACTCCATCGAGTTGTGAAGATCATAGAGTCTATCGGAGAGAGTGTTGAGAATATGCACCCCGGCACATGATTTCATCATCTCCACGCATCTTCCTTGCGGTCTTCAATTCTTCAGAATCATCCTCCTTTGGTTCAGAAAGTGGCTCCAATTTTGGATCAAGCACGTAGGCGATCTTAAGCATGGTGAGAAGGAAGAACAAATTTCCCTTCCAGTGGGTGAAGTTGGTACCATCAAAATGATCAAGTTGAACATTAGGATTGAGGAAAGACGTCATGTTCTTTTCAACCTCCATTGCAGCAAGTTTAAAACCTTAAAGATTGTTGGAAAATTTGGATTTGGGAGGACGAAAAGAATAGAGAATGCAGAAAGAGGGTTTGAGGCGTATAGGAATACTTTTCTTTAAGGTTTTATTTGCCCTCACTTCTCAAAGTTTGCTAATGAGTTTTTAATGACAAATTACCCCCAAGATACAACAAACCCTTGAACACAAATATTCAGCAAAAAATATTGAGTTCCAGAACAATTATATATCTGTATTTTCTGAAGTCTATTAATTAAAGACATGGATGCATCCATCCTCTTTAAGTGTTACAACCTTTGACATAAAGATACCTTTTCAATTTTAAAGGTTATCTTTTATATGCTGATGCACTTATATCAATAGTTATTTCTATTGTTAATAAGTGCTCAGATATGTGAGAAAACATATCACAAATAGATGCAATGGTTCAAGACCATTTCAGATCACTAAAACACACGAAAATACGTTTTCCGTTAGTAATTTACGCTGCAGCGGATGACATTCACGCTGCAGCGCTCGGGCTACGCAAAACAGACCCGAGAGGTTTGTTTTGTGCGCGCTGCAACGCCCAAAAGGCACACTGCAGCGCTCGGGCTTCGCAAAACAGACCCGAGAGGTCTGTTTTGCGCAGGTTACGGCGCCCAAGAGGCGCGCTGCAGCGCACGTTCCTGCGTGCTGCAGCGCACATTCTTGCGCGCTGCAGCGCGCGCTTGTGTGCACCTATTCTTCCCGAACTGTTTTAGGCCAACTTTGTGATATCGAAATTGAGAGATATATTACAATCTCTCTAACATATAGGTCTCGTCTACGCCTTCAAAAACAAATAATAACGATTCATATGTGATAAGCATCGATGAGATCATACGTCTCTCATGCATGTTGTTGTACGTAGTATTCTGTAGCTTGAGATTAATGAAGGCTTGTCGAGTTTAATAAATTCTTAGTACGTACCTTTTCTGCTTATCCTAGTGGAAAACTGACAGTTTCACTGGCCAAGAAGTGTTCTTAAATCAAACCTCTTTAAGACAATTGACTCTCCAAATATTACGAGTTTAATAATTATAACAGAACAAAGAAAAGCCAACGACTGTGAAAGGGTGATGACAATTGTTACCGAAGAGAAGGTGGTTGTAAATTTAGATCCTGTCGATTCACTTTAGAACTCCAATATTGAGGTCTTGGAGTTTGAATTTACCATCCATTAAAAAATAACTCGGTGAGAGAGATCAAAGAAAATGTTGCTTATTATATGTCCCCGGGTCCTTTCCCTTTCATTCAAATTTGAAATATTAATAAGCAATTAATCATCACTTTTCAGTCGTATTTTTACGATTAACTATATAATATAATTCAAACTATATTTTTTCGAAAGTAATGCTAGGAACACCAACTCAAATGTCAATTATTATGTACTAACTCATATGACATGTGAGTCTCATTTTTTTTATTAGTAGATGTAATCTCTTATCATTAATTGACGTGGCATGCAATATTTTAAACAAGTCAAGATTGTAAAAATAACCTAATGTAAAAATGACAACTAACAATGTCCTATGTTTTAAGTACTAGTCATTTTTTACCACCTAGCTAATTAGCGAGATGGGTAGGAAAAAAGGATTTGAGTCATCATATTGCAGAGTTAAGAGTACTATGTCATATATATTAAGAATGCAAATAAATTTTGTGGTGGGATAACACAATAATTAGTGAGTTGTGTTGCAGATCTTAATTGATTTAATAAGTTTTCAATATGTTAAATATTGCTTGTTTTGATCTTTTATATCAATTACTGTGAATACAATTAGTGTGAAGTGTATATGGTTCCGTCAATTCTGCACACTTTTTTAATTTTGATCAAATATTAAAATGAAATACCATCAGATACGTGTGCGGAAGCGTCTACAGTGATTTCGGGTCTAATCTTCAATTCAACTCTGGTACACGATTCACGAACATGATTTTCATGCTTCGAGTCATGATCCTTCACGATCAACCACGTCCTTGATTGCTTACAGTGTGTGGTTATTACATAGTTATACTCTAAAAACCGATAGTCCACAATTCAAGAACCTATAGAAGACTAGGAGAGAGAGAGAAAACTGACAAAGATTCTACGTATTTTTGTCACACTCGTTTGTACCTCGCTATCTAGTTATTTATAGCCACACTTATCATAAAAGGAGCAATCACAAAATATCAAAAGTATCTCTTTATTTATTTTCTTGAGAGTAAGTTACCCAATTACACAATCTATCAACATATTGAAAATATTTCATAATATTTCTAAAAGGAAACTTTTCCTTTTTATTCATGTTCATAGATTTTATTTCAAATAAAATCCGCGCATTGAATTTTGGGCTATGCGCGCCTTAAAGTCCAACAAATACAATGTTTAAAAACTTTGCATTACTAGTAGGTATTTCTACCATAGAAAGCTTGTGAACCCTTTTTTTTTGTTTTTTGTTTTGTTTTGGCTAATAAGAGGAAGATATGGAGTTGCTACTTGCTAAGTTATATGTTTTATCAAACTGCCAAAACCATGCATATCCCAACATTTAATTCTTGGTATTCAAATTAAAAATTAAAAGGATTAAGTAATTAACAAATTCTTCCCTGATCATACAAACTAAGGTTAGTGCTAAACTATAATTACTCCAAGCTAGCAATTGCGTATTAGGCCCAACTATATTTGATTACAAATTATCGCATCAACACACACACACACACACACACACACACACACACACACACACATATATATATATATATTATATATATATATATTTATTTATTTATTTATATGCTGTGGCAAAGTCTCGAGATTGTTGGGGAAGAATGGGTGTGGTAATTAGGCTGATCATATATAATACGTATAAATAGTCACTGAACATGCTGGCGTTGAGCATGGAACCCTGACCATATATATTTCTGATTTTCCTGATCTTGATAAATTTACAATATTAATTTAGATTAATTTGTTTTAACACCTTACTAATAAAAATTTAACTTTCTAACAGTTTAGGGTTCCACTTTAAATGATTTGAGATTCGTATTTATTTTTATCGTTTAAATTTACTAGTTATTACTGTATATAATATAAGTTGTGATATCAATATATCTATTGATTTTAATTCTGATTGAGAATACAAACTTTGCGTAGACGAACCTTAGTTAATGAAATTTTGATTTGAGCACAAAAAAGAAATTTTATCTACACACGCTTAAAAGAAGTAATGGTCCATAAGTGGACGAACGACAACAACTGAATAAGTATTGGGAAAACCAACGTCCAACTATTACTTTTAAGGTGCGTTTGGTTGCAGTGATGGAATAATAATAATAATGAGAATGAAAATGGTAATGATAATAGAATGAGAAAGAAAATTGATTCATTTATTTAGTTATAATTTTAAGAATACTATGGAATAAAACATGAATATTTTCATATTGACTAAATTACCCTTATATTGTATATAACATTAACATTTTATATATCAATATAATTAAAATAATATATAAAATGTAATATAATATAATAAAATTATTATTAAATAATATATTATATAATTATGATATAGAATATAATAATAATATTAAAATTGTTAATGTAATTATAATATTTTATAATATATTATAAGATTATGTAATAAACAATAATATTATAGCTATAATATAATTAAAACTTACAACTATATTATATTATACTATAATATAATATATATTTATATAAT